GGGGGGTGTTGAATTCGTTGTCCTTTTTGTTATTGTTTGTTTTTTTACATTTGTCTGTTTTTTTCTGTTCTATTTTCTGAAGGCCGTCTTTTCATTTATTTTTATTTTTTGGTGGGTTTTTTTGCGTTGTTTTGGAGTGGTTTTTTGGAGGGTGTGTTTTGCTTCTTTCCGTTCTTTTGACAGACAGTTGGCGACCACACGACCTGGGGATCATGCACACTCTAGAGGAGAGAGGTGGGAGGGAGAGAAAGAAGGAAAAGAATACACAATACAACTGATAAAACTTTTTTTGGCTTCTAACGGGCTGGAGGGAAGAGAGAGAAGGAAGGGAAAAATAAAACAATCTATCAAACTTATTTTTTACTTTGTCTGTCATCTGATAGACGATTAGCCATCACGCATCCTGTGGATCTTGCACCCATTGAAACGCGGAGCAGATGGGAGTGAGAGGAGGGAAAGAATTAAATAACTGATTAAACTTCTAAACTTTTGTTTGAATTTGTTTTTGTTTTTCGTCATTTGACGGCCGGCTGTTTATTGTTTTGGTTTGTTGCTGTTGTTATTGTTGTTGTTGTTGTTGTTGTTGTTGTTGTTGTTGTTGTTGTTGTTGTTGTTGTTGTTGTTGCTGTTTTTGTTGGTGGTAGTGGTGATGATGTTGTTGTTGTTGGTGTTGTTGTTATTGTTGTTGCTGTTGTTTTATTACTGGAGGTTTGACAGTCTGTTGGCCTCAATGTATTCTGTAGACCCTGCACCCATAGGAACAGGGATGAGGTGGTGGTGGGAGTGGGGGAAAGAAATCAATTTGTTTTGTTGTTAGATCAAAGTTAGTGCTAATAGTGATGAAGGTGGGGGTTTCGATGTGGGCAATGTGTGTGTGTGTATGTGTGTGTATGTGTGTGTGTGTGTGTGTGTGTGTATGAGTGTATGTGTGTGTGTGTTAAAGTGTTAAAGTGTTTACATGCATGTTTGGGAGATTTTTAAAATGGTAAGAGAGGTAAAGGAAGGGATTTTCACCTCTTTTTCGCATTTTATAAGGAGAGGGTATCATGGGAGGGGGCTCTCTTTTTTTTATTTCCACGAATAACGTCCGTCCCATCTACCGCATTCTCTGTCTAAGAGAACGTCATCAGGACATCATCTATCTTGTTCGCTCCTTGAGCAAATACCCCGTATTGAAAATAAAACATGATTACTCCATCACTCAGTTTCCAGACGATGTTTAACGTCTATAAAATATAAAAGAAAAGGTAGCATTGTTTATTATTACTTGTTCTACAGAGTTGTGGGTTTTATTCCAATTTTTTTTTAACAAATCTTTTAAAATTTCATTTTTCTATTCCTTTACCGATGTCAAAAAATTGCAGCATAAGCTACGATTTTGCTAATCTGTTTGTTGGCTCGTTGATTTCTTTTCCATGGAATTGTCTTTTTTTTAATCCTTCTTTCTCTTCTTTCTTAATCATAAAGTAGGAGGCGAAGTAGAGGAAATGGCAAAAACTGCTGTATCAAAATAAATGATACTATCCATGATTACAGGAAGCATTGTTGGATATGTTATAGGCCGTGATAGATCTACTGAGGCAAAACACATCCCCGCACTGCGACAAGACAGATGTCTAACGGTTTGTTCGATGAGTTGTGGACAATGAAATTAAGAGAATCCTACCTCACCGATACAACAAAACTATTTTGTCGTTCTTCTCATAGTGTCATCAATGTCCTCACCCCACCGTTTAAACAGTTCGCCAATTAGTTTGCCCGTAGTGCGGCACAGAACTAAGTATATTTGTAACGACAACACACGGGTTTGAATTATTTATTAGCCTTACGGGAACCTTCATGAAAAATGCATCAAGGCAAAGACCGGGGAAGATGGGGGCCTTTTGTGGCAAGGAGTGGAACACAAGCGGACAAACAAGGCCAAGGTTACAGATGACAAGAGATGGGAATCCAAATACCCGATCTAATTTAAGTTATTGGGTTATACGTACGAAGGTGCTGAACCCCTTTTTGCCTGACCTACTTAACGGTACCGGCAAAGTTGCTTTTGTTGTGCATTATTTCACCTTCTCTAATCGGATAGGTTTTGCGTAAACTTGTCAACGTAATACTTGCCTATATTTTGTTTATAAATATAGTCAGTTGTTCTTTCTTCTACATAATATTTTAAGCCTCTTTATTTGTTTGACACTAGATGCTGCCCAGGTTCACTCAGACTATGCCTCCAACGGCCTTGGGGTATTTTGGGTTAGAAATCCCTGATTTAGGTCTTTGCCGAGGTGTACTTCCTCTATTCCGCCTGACAGGGCCAACAGTACCGTCACTTTAAAAAGTACTTTTTTTTCAGTTTCTACAGTTTTATAGGAAAACTAAAAACACAGAATCAAGAAAACAAACTCTTGGCAAACATCCCAAGTCAATATTTTAAAGTATACAATTTTGAAACTAACTTCGTTAATATCTTTACAGCAAGTTTCCTTGGTACAAACATTCAATGTTTTGGCTCTCCTGTAAAATTGTAAAAACTGCATATGTGAGGCAGCGCGGTGAAATCAGGCTCTCGTCAAAATAATCAAAGTGAAGAAATCGGCATTTTTCCGCTGGTTTGTGAATTTTAATCAAATTTGGATTTTGGGGCTCAACACCTTTCATGCCCATTAAAGAACTCATTTATGTGTGGATTTTTCTGAAAAAACGTTGATTTAAGGCGCAAAAAAATGCACATTTTCAGTTAAACAGGACTTTTAAGCTAAGGAAATAACTAATCTTTCTTTGGTGGCCATTTTCTCACTAATTTCACCTCTGAAAACAATGACCCCCACTTCCTTCTTTCTCAAATATTTCGACTAGTATACAAGATAAATGGATATTTTTTTTCATCCAAATAAAGACAAATGAACAAGCTTTAAGATGATACCAATAACTCTACATGCCCAAAAAGTGACGCGAGCCTGATTCCACCACGCTGCCTCACATATACTGTACTTTTTAAAATGAATGCAGAATTTTATAGGGGCCAAGTGGGATACAGCATGCATGACAGAAGAAAGACTAAAACGCAGAATGAAGTAGACTTTCCAGTTGTGGAATCGAACTCACATCGTCTGTCTGTGAAAAACCTGACCATTGCACCCCAAACGAACGTCTTTTTATAGAACACTTCATGAGAAATTTACCAGACCTAATTATGTCGCCAGCTGGGCTTTCTATCCTGCTCCAATCCCAATATCTGAATTCCAGGAGTTTTTGTAACAGCTGCTGTCAAGGCAATTAGACAATCTTCCTTTCGAAGCCTAAAAACTACGTCTAATGTCTGTGCTCTGTAGAATTCCGGCTTTATTTGGCACTAAATCCTGTTGTTTGTATCTAGGAAAGGGATATTCAGTTCATTCCAATTCATTTACGCCCAAAACGGGGAAATGGAAGTATTACTAAATAGCACTAATCTCGTGATGTATTTATCTACCTGCGGAATTCTATTCATCAGTTTTATTTGGACCATTACTTGGCTAACAGAGGACGCTGTATTTGACAGCTTGAAAGTCAAGCTGCAACAACACTAGCATAACATTAACAAAAACAATGGCAACAACCACAACTTAAACATCAACATCAGAATCAACATCAGCATCAGCATCAGCAGCAACGGCATCTAAAACAACGCGAAAATAAGACCACCACAGAAGCAAGAACAAGAATCTGTCACTCAAAAATAAACAACTCCAGAAACAACAACAGCAACAAGAATAACAACTCCACTGACACAAACAGAAAAAACAATTATGAGAGCAACATCAATAATAATTACAGCAGCACCCACATCTAGATAGCCATCAAAACCAGCTGCAACAACATAACAGGAAGATCATAAAAAGCAACAACAACAACAACAGCAAGAATAACAACAACAACAACAACAGAGGAAGTAGCAGCAGCAGCAGCAACAAAAGCAACAGTTAACAACAGTAACAACAATTTATAATAAAATACGAGTAAATCCTATTTTCCAGCCTTATCAACGACGTATGTCTCAGAAAATTAATTAACGTCACAAGGAAATAATACATTAGGAACGAAATTGTCCGTAATTTAACAGAGATGAAAGCGGTCATGGAGTACATTAAACATCAAAGAATCAAGGGGTGCGTTCACCCGATGAGGAAAATTTTCTCAACCCCCCCCCCCCCTCTGATCCTCCTAAAAAAACTGTCAACCGGCAGTACGAGGATACAAAACAACAGAATCAGGCTACAACGGCAGGGGTAGACCATGAAACATTTGGCCGGATGGGATCAAAGATGTATTGCAAAAGAATATTATTAAATATATAAATATATAAAACAGAAGCCACTTGACCGAAAATTGCCCCTCCTCTCGCCATGTAACGATACAAAAGGAAGGAAACTGGGTTTGTTTGGTGTTATTGGTTGTTTTGGGTTGGGGGGGGGTTGGGGGGGTTGTTGATTGTAGTTTTTTTAATAGGTGTGTTTACGCCACCATCAACGCAATTTAGATCATTTAGGAGGTATTCTTCCGACCCTGTCTGTCAGGGCCAACCCGGCCTAAGAGGGATACAATATCCCAGCAGAAAAACCGAGATACTCGATAAAAATTTCTCCCCACCCGGAAATCGACCTTGGGTCTCCTGCGAGCAACAGCGAAGCCCCTAACCGCTACACCACAGACTCCTCTGGGGGGAAGAGTAAAGTAAGCAAAAGTATCAATCAAAGACACAAAGAACGAACTACTCACCTACGATGTAGTCATACGTCTCACTGAGTTTGGTGGTGAGGTTCTCTCCGGCAGGGGGCGAAGTGTTGCACCATCTGTACAACACCAGGACTGCTAGGATTCCTACCCCGACACTCACAGCTGTTTGAGCCATTCTGTCTCTCTACCACGTTTCTGTCTTTGACCACCTCTGTCAATAGAATGAACTAGATCTATGAAGCGGACAGACAGAAAAGGCAATTTGAGCAATTTTTATAGCCTCAAAATTCGTCGCATGTAGTTTCTTTTATTTTTTTTTTCTAAGTAGTTCTCTTTTCAGCCTGAGTATAATATTATATGTGTTGACCTTACACAACCACTAAAAATGCTTCTAAATTCTTTTTAGGGTAATTACAGTGAACAAAGTGCACATGTTTATCTCACACAGAATAGATATGTAACACATGTGTCCAGTTCCGAGTTATTTAAGAGCAGCCATACGTGTGGATTTAGTAATGCTTTGTGTGCGTTACGAAATTTCGAAATTGTTTTCGTTCTACAAATTAAAACTCTGGCCCCTCTTTAAGAACGAAAAGGTTAGCAGAATTCTTTGTTCAGGATAGTACGTCTTCTTTCTATGCCACGGAACGCTGAAGGTCACAACCGGACTTTTGTACAATATTTGTTTCATTATTTTATGATCTATTTCAAATTCTTTTTTTTTTTTTTTTCTTGTTGTTGGATCGCCCCAGAAAATAGGACACAAGCCACGTGTGGTTCGATCTCATGCTGTGTGATCATTTTGTGTCTGATAGTTTCATTTCTTTTAATGTAAGTGTTTTACGCCCTCAGAGACACAGTTAAGATCATTTAGGAGGCCGGCTCTCGGCCCAACCTGTCAGGGCCAACCTGTGCTAAGAGGGATACAACTACAACACTCTAGCAGAAAGACCGAGATACTCGATAAAAATTCTCTCCACTCGGGAATCGAACTCTTGTCACTTGCACGTGACAGCAAAGTGCCTTACCATTACACCACAAACGCCGCTTTGGTAATCATTGTAGTGAAGAACAATTATTATATTATTCATAATGGCCCCACCAAAAGTAAAAGACTTTAGGAAAAGGGATGGCGTAGCTATCTACGGCGATTTGTGGCGTTTTTTATCTTGACAAAATATTATGTTTTACTCTTTTTACCATGCTATCTACATCAAACGTCTTTAAGTTTCTCCTTTTCCTTGGATGTGAAAGTTCATCAACCGCTCATGGTGGATGGACGAACCACTGCTATGTCCACAAGTGCAGAAATGTAGTTGGGCTGAGATGAAAAACATCCGAACACGAGCGCGGAGAAATCGGACGCTATTCGGATAAAGAATCTCTGTCGCCTGGCGGGTCACGCTCGTCCACTATGTCACTGTGACCTTTACTCTCTCTCTCTTTCTCTTTCTCTCTCTCTCTCTCTCTCTCTCTCTCTCTCACACACACACACACACACACACACACACACACACACACACACACACACACACACAC